AAGTAAAGAGATTTCCCATATATACCCTGCTTCCTCACATGCAAAGCCTTCCTTCATGATCAGCATCCCTCACTAGAGCGGTATATTTGTTACAGTTGATGAACCTGCACTGCCATCCAGAGTTTACCCAGAGTTCATAGTTTACATTACAGTCCACTCGTGGTATGGTATGTTCTGTGGGTTTGGGAAAATGTATAATGACATCTATCCATCATTATAGTATTGTAGAGAATATTTACGCTGCCCTAAAAATTCCCTACTCCACCTATTCATCCCTCACTCCCCAACCCCTAGCAACGACTGATCCTTTTATTGTCTTCATAATCATGCCTTTTCTAGAATGTCATATTGGAATCATACGATTCCACTATTGGAATCATATAGCATGTACCCTTTTCAGATTAGCTTCTTTCACTTAGTAATATACATTTAAGATTCTCTCGTGTCTTTTTATGACTTGATACATAAATTCCTTTTAGTGCTGAAGAATATTACACTGTCTGAATTACCACAGTTTATTTATCCATCATCTACTGAAGGACATCTTAGTTGCTTCCAAGTCTCAGCAACCATGAATAAAGCTGATATAAACACCCATGTGTCAATTTTTCTGTGGACACCTTCTTTGGGTAAATACCAAAGAGCATTACTGCTGAATTGTGTTGTAGGAGTATGTTTCCATAAGCTGTGTCTTCCTAAGTAGCTGTACCATTTTGCATTCTTACCAGAAATGAATGAGAGTTTTTGCTGCTCCATATCCTCACCACCATTTGGTGTTGTCAGTGTTTCAAATTTTGGCTGTTATAATAGGTGTGTAGTGGTACAGCATTGTTGTTTTAATTTGTATTTCCCTAATGACATATGATGTGGAACATATTTTCATGATTGCTCGCCATCTGTAGATCTTTGGTGAGGTGTCTGTTAAGGTCTTCAACCCATTTTTAATTGCGTTGTATTCTTATTGTGGAGATTTAAGTGTTCTGTGCTTGTTTTAGATAACAGTCCTTTATCAAATATGCCTTATGCAAATATTTTCTCTCAGTCTGTGTCTTGTCTTCTCATTCTCTTGACATTGTCTTTTGCAGAACAGAAAGTTTTAATTTTAATGAAGTTAAATTCATAAATTATTTATTTTATAGAGCTAAAAAGTCATTGTCATACCCAAGGTCATCTATGTTTTTTCTTATGTTATCTTCTAGTTTTATACTTTTGTGTTTTACATTTAGGTCTGTGATCCATTTTGAGTTAATTTTGTAAATAGTACAAGGTCTAGACTCATTTTTTGTATGTAGATATCCAATTGTTCTCGCATCATTTGTTGGAAAGACTATCTTTGTCCCATTTTATTCTTTGCTCCTTGTCAAAGATCAGTTGACTGTATTAATGTGGATTAGCATTTCCTTTTGATTCTTAGAGTTTTTATCTCTCTAGTTATATTACCCATCTGTTCTTGCATATTGTCCAATTTTTCCCTTAGCACCCTTAGCATATTAATCTTAGTTATTTTAAATTCCAGTTCTGATCATTCCAAAGTATCTGCCATATCTGAGTCTGGTTCTAATGCCTGGTGTACCTCTTTAGACTGCGTGTGTGTCTGTATACATATTTGCCTTTTAGCATGCCTCATAACTTTTGGCTAAAAGTCAGATATAATGTACTGAAAAGTAACTGAGGTAGATAGGACTGTAGTGTAAGTTTTCATGTTTATTTGACTAGGAGTCTAGCAGTGTTTACTGTTTGCTGTAGCTGTGGTGTCAGAGGCAAAAATGTCTTCTATTGTTTTTGTTTTAGTCTCATCGTATTGTCTTTGGGTGTCCCTAGAAACTCCTTTAGTAAGGTCTGAGACTTGCAGTTTTCTTAGCTGTAATCCACTGCTGTTACACAGGAGGCCTGTTGATGTGGTGGTAAAGTGTGAGCAGAAAGGAAGCGTTCCGTAGTCCTATGGTTAGATCTCAATCTTTTACTGGGTTAGGTATTTCCTGTCCCACAGGTCAGTTGGGCTCTGGTAAAACCCCAGTCAGACTCTGATAAAATAGTTTTCCTTGAGGGCAGACCTTGTTAAAGAGAATAGAAAAGTCTGGGTATACTTCAAAATGACTACTTTTTTTTCTTCCCTTGCCAGAAAGACAAGGCAATTTTTCTCTAGTCTTCACAGTGAGAACCTAGTAGGGCTCTTAAAGGTAAAACTCATGAAAGTGTGGGGGCCCCTATAAGACTGGACCCCTTGGGGTTTTTAGCTCTTAAGCTAGTCCACACTGAGCCTCTAGCAATCTTTCTTTTACAGATTTTTTTAATATATATATTTTTTATTTTTCAAGTACAGTTAACATACAATATTATATTCATTTCAGGTGTACAACATAGTGAATAGATATCTATATAACTTACAAAGTGATCTCCACCAAAAGCCTAGCACCATGCATGGTTATTAAAATATTATCGACTATATTCCCTATGGTGTACTTTACATCCCCATGACTATTTAGTAACTACTAATTAATTATTCGTACTTCTTAATCCCTTCCCCTTTTTCACCCAGGCCCCCAAACCTCCCTTCCATCTGGTAACTGTCAAAATGTTCTCTGTGTCTATGAGTTTGTTTTGTCTGTGTATTTATTTTGTTCTTTAGATTCCACATAGTAGTGCAATCATATGCCATTTGTCTTTCTTTGCCTGACTTACTCCACTCAGCACAATACCTTCTAGGTCCATCCATGTTGTTACAGATGGCAATATTTTGTTCTTTTTTTATGGCTGAGTAATATTTCATTGTATATATGTACCACCTCCTCTTTATCCAGTCATCCATTGATGGATACCCAGGTTGCCTCCATATCTTGGCTATTGTAAACAATGCTGCAATGAGAATATGGATACACATACCCCTTCAAAGTACTGTGTTAGGTTTCTTCAGATAAATACCTCCATTACAGTTTTAAAGTGTTCTTACTAATACTGGCTTTCGATGTAGGCTTCTACTCCTGGTAAGCTGGGATTCCCTGTATCCACATGTCTGTCTTTCCATCTTTCAGGACAGCAGTTTACCTTTTGGCTTCAATTCTGAAGGTAGATTTTAACTTTATTCAGCTTGTTTCTTTTTTTTAATATTTTCTTTAGTTTTCAATTACATTTGACATCATTCAGTGTTTTTTCTTGTTGTGATTTTGAGAATGACAACTCCCAAGCTCTTGACAGGTCAAGCCAGAAACTGGAAGTATATACATTTATTTTTAAATTTTCAAAACACATCTTGAATAACACGAATCTTTCTGAGGTTTTAACTTACCTTAAAATAACTATGGGCTGTGTAGCTGTGTTTCCCAGCCAGAACCTCCATAGATATTCTCAAGAATTCTCAAAGCTATTACAAACACAAAGGATAGGCAGCAAAGAAAGAGCACAAGAGACTGGGAAGAGAGAAAAGGAGAAAAATGAGGATTAAAGAATAGAGATGTGTGACTTTTAAGTGCAGCAGGTTGCTAAACTCAACATAAAACATCCCCTGTATTACTATAATCCTACTGTTGCCCGTGATATTACTTTGTCAAAAAAAGTGTACACACAGAGAAAGATAAACACTATATGATTTCACTTATATGCAGAATCGAAGGAATAAAAAGAACAAACTAATCAAAAACAGACTCACAAATATAGTGTACAATTTGGTGACGGACAGAGGAGAGGGTTGTTTGGGTTGCTGGGAGAATGAGGTGAAGAGTTAAAGAAGTGCAAATTAGTAGCTGATGGATGGTCACGGGGTAGGGGAGCATGACAAGTGAATGAAGTTAGCATTAATGTGTTGGGTATGTGGAGGATCAGGGGAGGGAGGGAGCAATTGGGGGGATCGTTTTATGAACTATATAGATGTCTAACTAATGTACTGTATACTTGAAACTAATTTAAATAAGTTTTTTAAAAAGTCTACACAGACATTGGTTTTCAAGGGACCTGTGCAAGCTCTGATGGCTACACTTGGTTTCTTATCAAGCCTGCTCAGATAGAACATCTGATAGAGCCTACTCTTATAGGTAAAGATTATTCCAGAGTTGTTACAAGGATAAAATGAGATGATAGATGGAAATAGGTTTTAGAAACTGTAAAACAACATACAACTGCTTGGTGTTCTTTTTGTAAGCTCAGTGGTTTAATGTTGTCCAACAGTGTCCTCATGGGAGTTTGGAACAGATTTTAAATACCTGTATCTGAAGAAAATCACATACACCTACAGAATGAAGAGAATCAAGTCCCCAGGAGGGAAGAACATGTCTAGGAGACACATAAACCATGTACATCTGGGTAGTGGTTGTCGCCCAACTGTATGAGAAAAGCCTTGGTTTTCTGAGTACTCTCAATTGATTAGAACTATTTTCTTTGGAATTAATTCCCAAGAAAATGCTTGTGACTTCATTGTCGATAAAAAATGTTGACACTTTCTTTAAAGTGTCCATTAACTTACGGTAAATTACAGTGAGAGTGCACGTGGCCCCCACATGAATATACTACGGTTGCACTCTTTTAATAACCTAATTTCAATCACAATAAGGAAGTGACTAAAGAGTAAAGTGCCACTGCTCTGCAACTTCCATGAAAATGGCCCTTTTTTCCTTCCAGCTTCAACGCATGAGACATCATGTCAGTTCCTCAGCTGAATTCATGATTCTTCAATCTCAGGACTCGCAGAATTAGTGGAATGCTGTCCTAAGGTTGAGTTCAACGTTTCTGGGCACCCATTCCCTTACTCCAAAGACTAAGTCTAAAATATTTTTTCTCCCTAGGAAAGAATCTTCCCTGGAAATTTCTTATTAAATCAGTCAGAAAACAGTCAGAAACAGACTGAACAGACTTGTGAGTTTTGATAGTTGGGAAATACATTGCCAATTACCTACCTGGCCCTTGGCATGAGGCTTCCTCAAATTTGCAGTGTCCTGTGACTGTCTTGGAAAATAAACATTTTCTGTTAATTTCCAGTGATTTAATTTTCTATTTTCTTTTTGTAACAGGTCCAGTTAAAAACAAGAAAAAGGGTAAGTTAAGCTGATTTTATAAAATTGCTGTCATGTCATGTCTTTTTCTAAAATTAGAAGAAAAAGAAGCCAGGGAGTAGGATTTTTATATTATAGATTTTCAATGCTGGTTCTCCATTATTTTAGTCAATCACATGGGATCTTTTGAGTATTGCAGCTTCTAAGAAACAAGAGAGATCATTTTTCAGTGATGATCCATGAAAGATAGAATTGCTTCTCTGGCAACATATGAAAATTGGTTTCACTTTTCTTTCTGGCTCCCTTTTCCATACAATTCAATTTACATATCTTTCCTTTATTCTTTCTTGCTCCTTCTCCTCCCCTTCTCCTTGCTTCTTTCTTCCCCTCCTTTCTCAAATCAGTGATCAGGTATGAATGAAGTCCTAGGTATACTACCTCCTGAAACATGTTAGCACCCTATTTCTTGGCCTAAAAGCTATTCCTATCCTATTTCTCAAATAGTCAGGGAAGGTACTTCTTGCTTTGCAGTTTTAATATCATTTTGTCTGTAATGGAAAAATTAGACTGGAGTAACATCCTGATCTTTTATTCTTTTCAAAGAAGGTCTGGCTGAGCTAATCCATTGTGCCATTGTTGGGTCAGTAAGCCTCTGGCCTATTTGCCATGGGACTGGCCCAAGAGCTTGTATGAGTGCTTGCTTACTTGAAGAGAACACAAAGGCAGAACAGTTTCCAACTATTTGTTTCTGTGTTCTGACCTGGGAGAAAAATAGAGTGAAATAAATTATTTTTTCATTAAAATGCTTTAAGTGAAACAATTGTGTCTGTTAAGATTTCTGGAACTTTATAGAATATAGATTATCAACCCCAAACAAGGCCAAAAAGACAGGCTTCAGCTGATGCCTACCACTTCTCTGAGCACTTGGATACTCTGGTGGCTGGAAAGAAGGTGAGGAATGGGCTACCCTCCTGCAGACCTAGCTGAGCAAAGTTGGAAAACAGCCAGAGAGCTGGAGTCAGTGAGGAAACTTTTTTCCATGGAACCTGGGCATTGACCATGATATTCTGTCTTTTAAGAAAGTAAATTTGACTTTCAAGTATGCAGTTTTTAATTCTGGTCACATCCCTTTAAGACAGAAATTATAGCAAACCTAGAATGCTCACCTGGCTTGGACCAGGACATCCTCTGCTCCTAACGCAAGCCCAGAGATAACTTACCTTTGCAATGAGTAGACTTGAGAGCACTTTCTAATTACAGCTCTTATGTTTTTTCTTCCCTACTCACTCGTTCACTAGACAGTAGATAAGTACCTTATGTTTGTCAGGAGTAGAGATACAGAGATGAAGGAAAATGGTTCCTTCCCTCAAAAATCTCCCAGAGTAGTTAGAATCATGGAAGTATACACCAATAATTACAGCACAGTATGAAAAATGCTGTCATCAAAGTATGAACAGTGTGCTGTGGGAGCACAGAGGAAGAACGTGTGGTTCCCTTGGCAGAGTGAGGGACCACATCTCAGAGAAAACAGTATTTCACCTGAACTTTAAGGATGAGGGAAATGGATGGGGGAGGACATTCCAGCAAAGGAAATAGCATCCTTAAATCTCTCAGAAGTATGAGATCATGGCCCATTTGGGGAAATGCAAGTAGTAGAGGGCAGGGTACATGTGTAGGGGAAAATACCAATGGGTGAGCACTGGGAGAACACGCTCTCTAGTGGCAACAGAACGCAGTTGTCTAGGCTAGAAGCTCTGGAATTACAACTCAGATTTCAATGCCTCTGGCAAGGACTCCGATCACTGCATATGGGCCCTTACTGGAAGGAGAATGCACAGAGGCCTTACACACTTACTGTGGCTGAAAGTGATTTAGAAGCCATTGAATACAGATTTCCTTAGACACAATGAATAGGCACATGCCTGAAGAAGTAAATTGAGTTGTTCATTGAATTTCATTTCTTTGATAGAATTGTTCCCCTCTCACACTAACTCATGCACATTCTTTCTCTCTCTCTCTCACATGCGTGCGCTCGTGTGCGCGCGCGCGCACACACACACACACACACACTTTTACTCTCTCTTTTAGTTATTCTTTCAACAATTTAGACTTAGCTAAAAGGTTAACAAAATATACCCTTTCATGAAGGTTAGCTTTGAAAAGAATGTATATATCCTTTCATGTAAGACTACAAAGGGTAACTTTCCAAGTACAAAAGTCTTTGGGCTTTTGTATTCTGAAGCGCTCTGTTAAAGTAAGGAAATCCGGAGAAAGAATTCAACCCTCTAAAGTAATCTTGGGCCAAGGGTCATGCTCCTCTCTGGGCCAACTTACCATAGGCGTGTGAGTAAGAGAAGCACGCTTGCCTAAGCCCAGCTGCAGAATAGCAAAGAGAACCAGCTTCAGAACTGGATCACAGCAAGGGCTTTTCCCCAAATGCCTTCTAACATTTTCATGAGTGAGCATTCTGTTTACACTGCCATCATTATTCTCCTTGACTGGAGCTTCTGGCTGTAATTCTTCCAATATTGTATTAGCTATCACAGCAGTCTCACAGTCTTGACTCTGAAGTCAAGACTACCCACAGGCCAGCGTCTAGTTCAAAAATCAGTGTTACACCTGGAAATTCTGGGACATAGCACAGCCTAATATGGACTATCCTTCGTGTCTATGCTGCTCGGAGAACAATGAGGGAGAAGCAAACCTTGCAACCAGGCTAGGGAAATTTCCTGGCTGCCAAGGGTAAGTAATTCCTCCTGATGGAACCTCAGTTTTGAGAGGAAACTGAGAGGAATCATCAAGGCCAAACTCATCGTTTCACCAATGGAGAAACTATGGGTCAGGGAGAGGAAAGGATTTGCCCAAGATGTGTCAAGGGCAGAACCTGGGCTTACAGGCTTATCTCCTAACTACGGAGTCTGTGTGCTTTACACTACACTAGCTGGGACTGAATGTTGGGCACTGGATAAGCCTGACTTGGAAGCTGCCCAAATCTGAAGGGAAATGGCTTCCCCATTCGGCATCTTGAAATTGGCTAGATCTAGAAACTGAGTAGATCCGATCTTTTGCTGCTAAATGCAGGGAAAACACTAAAGCTCTTGCCTGGGGTCTTTCAGGGACTGTCTGGGACAGGGGCTCTCTGGACCTTCCTGCCTTTCCTCCCTGGAGAAACAGCCACACAATGACCCTGGTGTTTTATTCCAAATGCAGATATGGTCAGACATGAACAAGTGGTCTTTTGAGCAGTGTTGCCATGGGGATTGGGTTTCTTGAACATGCAGCATTATTCTTAAAAGAGGATCTGATAAATCATGATAGGCTTCTACTGCCTGAGAGTCTGGGGAGTGGGGAGTTGGAGTCAGTAAGGTTTTTAGGTGAGACCTGAGAGAGTTCTATTTAAGATTAAGAAAGTACCACAAGCGAAGTCACAATGATGAAGTCCAATAAAAGGTTTCCACTCCTGGGATTTTCACAAAATCATAAGAAAGTGGTGAATGGAGGAAGGAGACACCCACCTGTGACCACCTACACTGCTTGAATTGGGCTACACAGAGCAAAGGAAGTAAATAGAAGGAGCTGGAGTCATAACTGCACTTACAACTCAGTTAACATAAGTGCATCCTGGTGAGAATGTTGGAAAGACCAGAATATGAAATAGCAGAGCCAAGACTGCTCTGAAAGGGAGGAGTTTGTTGGCTTCATTAATAATACATTTGAGAATAAGTCCTCTGAGGAAAGACTCTGTGAAGCTGGATAATTTAGCTTATAAAAATGTTCATTGAATTTCATTTCTTTGATAGAATTGTTCCCCTCTCACACTAACTCATGCACATTCTTTCTCTCTCTCTCTCACATGCGTGCGCTCGTGTGCGCGCGCGCGCACACACACACACACACACACTTTTACTCTCTCTTTTAGTTATTCTTTCAACAATTTAGACTTAGCTAAAAGGTTAACAAAATATACCCTTTCATGAAGGTTAGCTTTGAAAAGAATGTATATATCCTTTCATGTAAGACTACAAAGGGTAACTTTCCAAGTACAAAAGTCTTTGGGCTTTTGTATTCTGAAGCGCTCTGTTAAAGTAAGGAAATCCGGAGAAAGAATTCAACCCTCTAAAGTAATCTTGGGCCAAGGGTCATGCTCCTCTCTGGGCCAACTTACCATAGGCGTGTGAGTAAGAGAAGCACGCTTGCCTAAGCCCAGCTGCAGAATAGCAAAGAGAACCAGCTTCAGAACTGGATCACAGCAAGGGCTTTTCCCCAAATGCCTTCTAACATTTTCATGAGTGAGCATTCTGTTTACACTGCCATCATTATTCTCCTTGACTGGAGCTTCTGGCTGTAATTCTTCCAATATTGTATTAGCTATCACAGCAGTCTCACAGTCTTGACTCTGAAGTCAAGACTACCCACAGGCCAGCGTCTAGTTCAAAAATCAGTGTTACACCTGGAAATTCTGGGACATAGCACAGCCTAATATGGACTATCCTTCGTGTCTATGCTGCTCGGAGAACAATGAGGGAGAAGCAAACCTTGCAACCAGGCTAGGGAAATTTCCTGGCTGCCAAGGGTAAGTAATTCCTCCTGATGGAACCTCAGTTTTGAGAGGAAACTGAGAGGAATCATCAAGGCCAAACTCATCGTTTCACCAATGGAGAAACTATGGGTCAGGGAGAGGAAAGGATTTGCCCAAGATGTGTCAAGGGCAGAACCTGGGCTTACAGGCTTATCTCCTAACTACGGAGTCTGTGTGCTTTACACTACACTAGCTGGGACTGAATGTTGGGCACTGGATAAGCCTGACTTGGAAGCTGCCCAAATCTGAAGGGAAATGGCTTCCCCATTCGGCATCTTGAAATTGGCTAGATCTAGAAACTGAGTAGATCCGATCTTTTGCTGCTAAATGCAGGGAAAACACTAAAGCTCTTGCCTGGGGTCTTTCAGGGACTGTCTGGGACAGGGGCTCTCTGGACCTTCCTGCCTTTCCTCCCTGGAGAAACAGCCACACAATGACCCTGGTGTTTTATTCCAAATGCAGATATGGTCAGACATGAACAAGTGGTCTTTTGAGCAGTGTTGCCATGGGGATTGGGTTTCTTGAACATGCAGCATTATTCTTAAAAGAGGATCTGATAAATCATGATAGGCTTCTACTGCCTGAGAGTCTGGGGAGTGGGGAGTTGGAGTCAGTAAGGTTTTTAGGTGAGACCTGAGAGAGTTCTATTTAAGATTAAGAAAGTACCACAAGCGAAGTCACAATGATGAAGTCCAATAAAAGGTTTCCACTCCTGGGATTTTCACAAAATCATAAGAAAGTGGTGAATGGAGGAAGGAGACACCCACCTGTGACCACCTACACTGCTTGAATTGGGCTACACAGAGCAAAGGAAGTAAATAGAAGGAGCTGGAGTCATAACTGCACTTACAACTCAGTTAACATAAGTGCATCCTGGTGAGAATGTTGGAAAGACCAGAATATGAAATAGCAGAGCCAAGACTGCTCTGAAAGGGAGGAGTTTGTGGGCTTCATTAATAATACATTTGAGAATAAGTCCTCTGAGGAAAGACTCTGGGAAGCTGGATAATTTAGCTTATAAAAATGGAGGTTGATAAGTGACAAACTCTTTGAGCATATAATGGTTATTATGTGTATAATGGTAACTATTCTCCATCTACACAAAGAGTAGAAAAAGCTTCAACTGCCACACAAGAGACTTCAGTTTAAAAAAAAAAATACAGAACTTCCTAACAATGAGGGGTGATAAACATTGGAACATGTTACCAAGGAAGTGTGCAGAATTTCTCTTCCCAGAGATCTTTTAAAATAGTGTTTTGAGAGGTCAGCTGAAAATGCAGAACCTGTGTGCTGCCTCCTTTTTATCTCCTTCGACTCTCCACCTTTCCTTCTTTCCTTTTGTCTTTCCCTCTCCCTCTTTCTCCCTGCCCCACCCCACAGTCTGTCTCTCTCTCTCTCCATCCCTCCCTCTCTCTCACCACACCACCCACCCCTCACATCCCCAACTCCTAACCATTCCTCATTCCCAGCTAGCCTCACCTCTATGCCCCCAGTTCTTGTACATCGTTACTCCTAGAGGAAATCTTCCTGGACCTGATGTTGTTCCTAAAAGCAGACTGTCCCCCCAGCCTCCTCTTCTTAGCCTCATCAAGTCCACCAGACTGGGAAGTAAACATGAAAGCCATGCTGTTCAACAACACCCTAATTCTCAATTCTAAAAAGTGACCCATAGGTCTGGCCACTTGGTAATTCAGATCTTTGAACTCAGCTGAAATGTAATCCTTTTTTTTGAAGCCTTCCCTGAACTCTTCAGCATGTTGTCCCTACCGCTAATATAGCACTTCTACTTTCTTGTAACTGTGTCTGTTTCTCTACTAGACTGAGCTCCTTGAGAGCTATTTATTTCTATATCTTCAAATCCAGCTCTGTAAATGATTACTGATGAAAAGGCAGAGAGACACACAGAGAGACAGAGAGAGATAGTA